TAGAAACTTCAAACTTCATGCACAGTATTAAACCACAAAATTATGTATACCAAAATTCAACAGACAGATATGAGTCTTTTCTTTCAGAAATGGACTTTGCTGGCTCAGTGAGGATTCACTGCGAAACCTCTGCAGTAACGACAAAAAATATAAAACAAGTTTCAAATTATCAAACTTTTGAGAGACAAAGCTGATCTGTATGGCTAACAAACTTTTTTCTTTGAAGTGGAAGAGTGAAGTGAAATTTATGAAGAAAGATTTAAGTGGTAGGAATATTAAGAATGTGTTTGAATATTAATTTCATAATGTCACTATTCAAAATCAAGTTGCCAGTTTGAATTAAGAGTCTACAATCTCTGTAGACCTGTTTGCCTCCAATCAGCAAACCAGGAGTAATGCCCTTAATGTCTTAATACAGCAGAGAAATCCCATAGATATATAAGCTTGGAGAGAAGAGGAAAAAAATAGATTTGAGAAGCTTAAAGTCTTTTGGGACAGGAAGAAGGAAGGGAGAAACACATGGACTTGAAGCCTTATGTCCTACCATAAATTTCAGCACGAAAGCAAAAGCTGGGAAAAAATACTGGCAGACTGATAACAGTGATCTGATGTCACCTCTTGAAGGTTTTTGAGTTATCTACTTTGAGAAAGAACATCTTTTAAAAATCACATGAGTTAGGCTGTTCACTGAAGCACCTTGGATTGCTGATTGAATAATTTTAAGGTAACCAGAACTTGTATTTTGATGAGAACTTCAAGCCACAAGAATCAGATTACTTCCATATGGCACAATAAGAAGTATCATTATTGGGAGACTTCCCAGAAGATTCAATAAACCAGGTAACTTCTTAGTGGTTCATAGGGAGAATAGGCTATGGTCCACTACGGAGCCAGTGAAAACTTTGTATTAAAATAACAGGAAGAATTTTTACATCTTATTTGCAGTCTCAAATTTTTTTTTTTTTTGTCTAGTACTTTATCATGAAAAGCCCAGCTATCATAATTTTTATTTCATATTTTACTAAACATTTCCCTTTCCACATCTGATTCCTAGTACTCCGGCAATCTGACTTCTTTCTACATTATCTTACATTATCTTTCTACACTATCTATCTACATTATCTTTCTTACAATATCTTATTGAACAGTTTAAACTGTTCAATTCCTACTATGATTTCCCTATATGACAATAAAAAATGCTGTTCCTTTATTTCCTATGAGTTTCTGGCTTCCTAAAATGAAATTGAATTTTGTTTTTCTGCATAAAATTCTAAAAGGATACTAATATCCTCGTGTCACTTTTTGTGAGGCTACATGACTTCAGAAACATACCTAAAAAGTATTTGAGGGGCAAGGAAATTAAAGAACTTGAATCAAGAGATAATGTCTGAAATGGGATTGAAGGATTGGAGTCTAAAACATCAATCACAATTCATAGAACTTTGATTGGATTGTAGAACATGCTAGAACACAGTTTTCAGATAAATTTGACATTGTTTGATGTAAGCCTATGGCAAACATGAATTATTGTAAGATATTTAAGCACTGCCAGGTGATCTGCAGTGTCTACCCATTTTTCTTCCTCTGTGGCAAATGTGAAGAAACAACCGTCTCCTTCACTCAGAGCTAAGCTACTTTCTATCTATTAATTATAGAAATGCTGATGTGATGTAGGGTAATTTCTTTTACTTTATTACCTCCTCCTGAAACATCTGATGTGGGGCAATTCCAAAGTGTCTTCAAAAACTTACAATAGTTCAAAAATTTCAAACGAAGTGTGACCTAATTCCTCCTCATGACATACCTATGAGGAATGAGGGAGTCTCAGAATGAGAGAGGAAATCCCTCATAAGCATATAAAAAAGATATCAAATAATTTTCCTCAATGTATTTTAAGATTTTTTTCCTAGATTTAATGTATTTGTTTTTATATTATAAAGCATAGAACTGTTTTTGAATATGTGATTATATTACAAGACAAAAGGTGATTCATCAATTTAATTCAGGGGTTGCCAATGTTTTATAATCATGGAGAGATGCTGTGAGTAGGCAGCTACACATATGGTGCTGAGAAAAGAGTACTGGTGTTCTGCAAATGGTACTTTGAAAGTGGTAAAAGGAAATAATGGCGTCTGGGAAAGAATGGGAATACAATTCCCAGAATCAGCTTTGTCCATCTAACAAGACTGGTTTCACAACAGGTACATGCTTTACAAAATCTCTTTGTTAAGTCCAAAAAAAAAGAAACCAAACCCAACAGGTTTTTGTTGAATTATGTAGGAGACTGAATAGAAAATTAAATGTGTAGAATATTAAATGTGTAGAAACACTTTTAATTAGAAGGGATAGCAAGCATTTTGGAAAAACAATCAGAATTCAAAAAGATTTTGAAAAACTGAAGAGATGGTCAAGATCAGTAAGTAAATTTCACTGGAAACAGATCAAAGTACTCTGAGGAAACAGGTTGCACAAATTAATACACTTATTACATTGCAGATAAAACCAATCAGGAAAGGACTTCAAGCATATTGGAGAAGAGGATTAGAATTCAAATTGGAGATATAGTCTAGGATAAAAAGGACACTATCCAATAAGAATAAATGTCAAGTGCCACACTGGGCTGAAATAATGAACTGCATAAAGGCCACAATGGGCATCTTACAAAGTAAAATTTCTATAGAAAAGGCTCTAGGGATTATGGCAGATTACAATATCACCAGAAAGTACATGAGAAGACACTGTAAATAATCCTTGCATTCTTTTCAGCTGTTAAGGCTTCCGCTGGCATACAATTTTGGAATTTGCAGATCTAGAACTATGTATGGAAACTAAAAAGCACCCAGAAGAAAGCAGCAAGAATCATCACAGGCTTAGAAAACATGTCCTCAGAGGCAAAGGTTGAAGGAATTCTGCTAGTTTCATCTAAGAAAGGAAGATTATGAGAAAACATAGCAGTAGTTTTCCAGTTAAAATGAAATGTTACAAAGAGGATAGGGATAACTCCCTCTCCATAGCTGCAGTTAGGAAGAATGGCAGGAAATAAAATTTATTTGCAACAAAAATATTTCAGATAGTAGTAAAAAACCATATAATCAGAAGGACATCAAAGCACTAAGGAAAACAAACCACACATTTCTACAGTGGACTATTTTAAACGCTTATCAAAAGAGAACGAGGGGCAAATACTGGATACAGATTGTCTGACTATACTTGATCCCATTTTTAGACATGGATGGCTTATTGATATCCCTTTCCAACTACTTGTTATGATACTAAGATTTTGCTAGTATTTTTCCAAGGGCAATGTATCCATAATTTTCAATCCTAATGCTAAAAATGTGATACAGCCCCTGTGCATCATGGAAATGACTTCTGTGTTATAGATTCTAAATATACTTTTGTTCATTACTTTGGTTTTTGTCTTCTGCTGTTGGACATTCTGGTGACACATTTTCAAACTTTTTCTAATCTCATCATAGTTAAAGTCTTCCCATTTGAAAACTTTGAGGGGAAAAACTTGGTAGTATGTGACTTAAGAGAAAATCCTTAGAATTAGCAAAGCCACGTATCTAATAAAGTACCCTGTATAATATATATCCTGTGGCTTATTAGGCAAAGTGTAACTAAACATTTTTGTTATATGAGAAATTACAAATGAAGATATTTCAATGATGAATCTTTTATGATCAACCATATAATGCACAGTACTGATCTCTTTTTCTGATCCCTACAGATTAACTCTACTTGGGTGGATTAACATCCCGTAATGAGGCATGCATTCAAAACCTACTCTATTTCTGACATACTATTTAGACCTAGAAGCAGCATGAATATATATGCAAGACACACAAAAAAAGACTGTATGTGTGTGTGTGTCTGTGACTATATGGTATATCTTCTGCAATTACTAGACATATTTTATATTGAAAGTAGAGTTGATCTTGATTTAGAAAAGGGTTGATTTAAAGGTGAATGACCTCACATTCATTTCTGCCCAATTATTTCTAGTTCAACTTCATCACTGCTGGAAGAACTAAGTAGGGTCATTAATGATTTCACTTTAGCTGTGTTTTGGTATAAATCATTGCTTTTTCCTTGATGATAGAAATATATTCTGCTGGTATGCTTTGCCTTGATTGGAAATTATCAAGTAGAAAGTTGCATTTAGAACATGTAGAATTATGAAATTATGAAATCAGATACTACTTTGAACAATTCTCATTCTTAGCTCCTAGATTAAAAATCAAGATATAGCATTCTTATTGCAACTCTCACAAACATTTTTACAGGGAAAAAAAAGTGGTTCAAGCTGTGAAGTATATTAGTCATACCCTGGCTGTAAGAGTATTTGCTATGGGAAGACTGATTTGTGCAATTAATAATCAGCAATGGAAAATGGATCTGTAGGAAAGTCTTCTGAAGGACAAGTCTAACAAAAATCTGTAAAAGCTCATGTTAAACCTTATCCACAAGAGAATAAAAAGTAGCAACACATACAGATATGGAGAGAAGGTATGACCCAAAATTCATAGGCTACAGAGGTCAAGGAATCATTTAACAGCAATAATGCACTGATTTTCCACACATTTATCAAAAGAAAATCAGTATTTTCAGAATCCATGAAGCTTCTTGAACTATTAAAGACTGATGGTAAGATGACAGTTAACTCCAGTGGTTATAATGTATTTTGACTCAGCTAAATGCAATAAACCATCAGATAGAAGTTGTGAGTCATCTCTCTGTCCACGTGTCGTCAAGGTAACAATGTATTCCATTAGTTTTATTCATTGTCTTCAGATTTACAGAAGTCAGGTATAGAAGGGAAAATGTAAACATCTATTGACGATTCAGCACTGAACATAAAGAAATGCCATATTTTAACATTATAATACATTATGAAAAAAATATAAATTTTACACTCATTAACCCTGCAAGGCATTCTGTTAAAGTGTCCACGTATGTTACAAGAAGACTGTGAAATAAAAACTAACAGTTTTCATCTATTCACTTCCACAGAGACTCTCCAAATCAAACTCAGAGGAGTAATCTGGTCTTTCATTTGTCATCGTATCACCTCCCTGTAGTCTTCTATTTCTCTGCCAAGTAGCATTCCACAAATGAATAGCTTTCTGGGGGTCAAATTTTTTGATCTCTGGAGAGTTCATCTGAATTATCATAAGATCTGTCACACTTTCAGACCTTAGTTTAGAGTGCAAATGCATCATGGTGAGTTTCATTTGACTGAAGCCTCGCTCTGTTTCAGCTGAGCTTGCCGGCAGAGTTAGGATCAAATCTACCAATGTCAGGATGTTAGGATACTTCTTTGAATAATCTGAATTCACTGAATCCCATGTCAACGTCTGGATGTTCTGAAATCTAAAAGGCATGGTAAGAAGTATAATTATAACTAAGACTAAATGTATTTCCATAATTCTTTTGAGTAAATCAATAAATAGACACAAATGCCGTTTTCTTATTACCTGTTATACAGCTCTAACTTCAACATGCTCCATTCAGTTTCTACTTCACCTATTTTCACACTAGCAGCTTCTAGTATGACTTCATAATGCTTAGTCAAGACAGACACTTCCTTTTCACCAAATTCTATAACAGAGGCAAAATAAAAATATTTTTATGCTTTTAAAAAATTTAGAAGGTGCACTTCAAATTGCCACTCTCACAGTTCTATACCTTGTTTCATTTTGTCAGGCCATAGTTTAAAACTTCCAATAGTAGTTGCTCTCAAAACATCTTGACTTGCATCGCAAAAACAATCACGTAGCCTCTTCACTAAATTACTTAGTACTTTAGTTCGTACTGCTGAAATATTTCCATTTCCAACAAGCTGGTAACCATGAAAGTGCTGAATGGTCTCCATCAGGCGTTCCTTTGGGCCAGCTCTGAAAGATACAGAATACAAAACAATATATAATATTCTTTTTCTAAGAGATCATGGTTCAGTTGGTAAAAATGCCAGACCTTGTTTGATACATGTGGAGTGTTTCCATCGTTGACTGCACAGTTGCAAATATGTCTGCAATGGAAGAGTTGCGATCCAGAGTAACACGTGACAGAATGTTGAGGACATTGATGACATCCAATAAGAAGTGAGAAAACTTGACTATCTCCATTCTCAGAAGGACACGTAAAAGGCCTTTGACCTTCTGCCGGTTTGAGGCTCTTGAATCTCTTTCAGTCTGGAAATCAATATAGAAAAAGAAAGCGTCAGGTATGTGGACCAAAATTAGCCATAGCAATTAATTTTTCCTGAAGTTACATCCAAATTTTAAATCATTTACCTTACTCAGATGTAGAACAATTGCAGGATAACCTTTAAGGAGAATTTGTAGAGCTGTTTGTAGACGAGGAAGCCACTGGGAGCCTCCAATGCGAGAAGGAATAGCTGGGCGTAACTTAATGGCTTCATACGTGGCTTTGAGATTATTCTTATTCAGAGGTGAGTTATGATAAAAGTAATACATATTTCTCAAGACGTTGCTTAAGATGTTGTATAGCTTAATATTTTTCAGCGCTCCTTTGTAAGCCAGCTTTAGGCGGTGAGCGAAACAATGCACAGACTGTACACAAGGCTGAATTTCCCTCAGAAGTTTAGCTACCCCACTGTTTTCTCCTACCATGACATCTGTCCCATCACTTCCAAACCCAACTAATTTTCTTGACCAGTCTTGGCTTGCCAGCCTGAGTTGAAGATTTATTTGTAATATTTCCTCAATTGCATTTTTTATAGTTGAAGCGTCAGTTTTGTGAACAGGTTGAACCCCAACAATCTGGCAATGGACTTTTCCTTCATTTGCAAAGCGTACATAGACAACTGCAGCTGCTTTGAGTATACTGTCTGTGACTCCATCGCTAATAACAGAAAAGAATTTACATTTCTCCAGTTTCTCTTTCAAAGCTCTTCTTTCTACTTCAGCAATAAAATGTATAAACATTCTTGCTGACTTGTCATTTCTAAATACAGAACCAATATCCACTCCTTTCATATCATCTAGTTTGCACATCCAGTCAAGGTCTGTAAAGGGACGACCAGATTTAGCAATAGCATGGCATGTTCTAAAAATATTTTCTACTCTGCCTAATGTTATGGAGTTCATGCTCTTCAACATCTGCTCAGCAGAAGCTGTATCTGGTGAAGCAGTACTGGCAGCTTCCATGCAGGTAGCCCAGGCATGAGCTTCACTACTCTGGTGTGTATTTATAAATTCAAGTTTGAAGTCATCAGTGCCAGAACAAAAGTTATTAATATTTTCCCCCAAATCCACATTATGCTTACGACATGGTGCACAAAACATTATTCCCCTTTCATCATCATATTTTAACCAGGAGTATTTTGTTAGCCATATTTTTGGAAACTGGCGATTCCTCTTTGTTCAGCTTCACTACTCTGGTGTGTATTTATAAATTCAAGTTTGAAGTCATCAGTGCCAGAACAAAAGTTATTAATATTTTCCCCCAAATCCACATTATGCTTACGACATGGTGCACAAAACATTATTCCCCTTTCATCATCATATTTTAACCAGGAGTATTTTGTTAGCCATATTTTTGGAAACTGGCGATTCCTCTTTGTTCTCTGTCTTTCCCTCTGTCACCAACTTCTCTCTTGCTAGAAGAATTACTCTTGCTTTTAAATTGCTTCAGTGCTCTTATGGCTATAATTTAAAAAGAAACAACTAAATATAAATTTGTTTTTATTTCATAAATTATCAATTGTATTTTTTATTTTTTCGTCCACATTTATTTTGTTAATTTGGGACTAGCCTGTGACTTGAAATAAAAGAGAACAAGGAAAACTGAGATCTACTCTTAAATCACTCGGAGGCTACCCAGGACGCTTGTAAGAAATGGTTAGTTTTGACTCCAATTTCCTTTCGACTACCAGAATGTGCAACCAGTAAAGTGCAGCAGCATCAATACCACTTTTGAAACAGAGGAAAACAAACAAAGTTAGAGAGTGGAATTCAGAATATCTTTAAGGCAAATGTCTCCAGAAAATACTACTGAAGTCACAAACCTATTACAAAGCCCATTACACCTGACATTAACAGGAAAGTTAACTTGGAGCAAGTCCGTAAATACATAATCAAATACCTGTCACAAATGTGTAATATGTTCCATGGCACATGTAGGTGACCTGATCTTCTTAAAATATATTTATCTACAGAATGATTTTATTACTGCTTTACGAAAGAGGAACTGTATAAGCTTCACTTTTTGTTCTCAAAATGGAAACATTCTTAAAGCATTGAGATTGTTCTCAATATTATTTTCCCAAATTGTTCTCAAGATGGTCATTCTTATATTTTGTAGGAGCAAATGCCATAAGCTGACATTTTTGAAAATTCTGTCTCTAGAGCTCGTGAATCTCCAACTTCTGGCAAGTAATTTAATGATTCTTTTAGTACACTGTTGCCATAAGTCATGACTGTGAAAAGAAAGCAGTCAAATAATCCATGCAGAACTGAGGCAATAAAACTAGAAATCTGTTCATTGGGAAATAGCAGAAGTGAAACACTGAGGAAATGACCTAAGAACAATCTGACTCCCCACCCTCCTTATTATGATGTACATCAAGAGGCAAAATTAACAGTTACATTAAGCTAATCATAGAAAGAAATGCCATTTCTGGTGCTTTAAAAGGTCTTAAGAAAAAGAGTCCTTGTATCCCATTCTTTTCTATTTTACAAGAAGGGGCAAATTTTCACATACGCATTATACAATTTGTAAGAACTGTTTGTTCCCATTGTCATAAAAATGACAGTTTGTCTGCTCCATTCTATTCTGAGCATCCTTAAAGGTCATAATGTTAAAAAGTGTTAGGAACATGCAGTTTAAATACATTTCCACTATGAGCGATTCTTTTAAAGAACTTTAAATCTGAGTAGCAGCTGTGGTCCACATGGACAGCAAAAAAAACTAGACCACAGAAGCTTTTTCTGACATGTGCCCAAGTACCATACCCAGGACCAAAAAGACAGAAGGAGAAGCATTCTTAACATACAGTAAAGATTAAAAACCTTCCCTAACATTAGAGAGCCACAAAACTGCAAGAAAAAGGTGAAAAAGAGTTGGGGGGCAGGTTGATGGATCTGCAACTGCACAAGTCAGAGGAAAGGTGGAAAGGACAAAATGGTTGTAACACCTCTATAGTGATGACTGCTTCTTGAGGTTTATGGGCACCTGTAGAAACTTACTGTTGATTAGAAAAATGGGGATCGGAGTACTGTGAGCCACTGTGAGGGATAAGATTCCCTGTGAGATGGACCTTCAATGTTACCAATCCTTTTCAAGTTTTGAATTTTTTTATTTCAAAACACAAGGGTTTAAACTCTCAGAAAAATATGTTTGGGATATCGTGTGTCTATAAGTGATCAGTTGTATGTGTCTTTAGAAAAGACAGCATATCCTACAGTGCGTGAGAACAGTAAATATACAGCTAAGAGGCATGAATCAGATCAACTCTATAACCCATTTAAACTATGATTATACTCATTACAAATCCTCCCTTCTAGTATATTCTTACCACGCTTACCTAAGGAAATAAAAGTTATGCCATTGTGTTGTCTATATATCTCTATATCAATTTGTTTGTCTGCCAGTTCTCCCTCACTGATAATTTTAAAATGGCCAATTTGAACCAAGTTTGTCAGTAGGGTAGAGTTATGAAGGTCCTATAAATTTCTTTCAGATCTGAGGTACAGGAAAAAGGTCCTCATAATGCTCCCACTGAGGAAAAAGCAGGGACATGACCAGCTTTTATCCACTCTGTGGCCAAGAGGCGTAAGTCAGCCTAAACTCAGTTCCAGACCACACACGGCATCCAGTGTATCCTGGCCGTAGCTGTGCAAGCAAAACATGTAGGTAAGATGGCATGAAAGAAAGACAACAGTTGGGTTTTTTTTCAAATGAGGCTAACAGACATGGAAAGGAACAGGAGATGGACTGGTGGGAGGAAACTGGGAACATGGGAAAACCATGTTGCAGTGATACTATGGAAAGAACACAGGATACAAAAGGAAGCCAGCATGTACTACTTATGAAGCAACCTCTTTTTCACATAAAAGTTTGTCATCAATCAAATCAAAAGGAAAACTAGGGTAGAAAAAACTACACAAGGTAGAATTGTTTTTCATTCACATCTTTTTAAAAGCGAGTATCATTCACTGATACACAGGGTGACATTGACAAGCATTTATATATGTTTCAATAAGCAGAACAGAAACATAATAAACAAATGCAAAAAATTAATTAGTGAAGAAATTAAGATTATGAAACTAAGGTTATGAAAATTTCAGTTTCAGTGAAACTCAAAACAGAAGAATAAACATTCAAAAAGGAGCATTAAGAATGACAGTAGCGTAAGTGTACACTAGATGTGCACCCTGTGAACCAGGACTGTGACATTTTAAAGGGACATAAGAAATAAAGAGCAATCACCATGTCTCAGTTATAAGGCACAGATATACAAAAGAGACTGTTTCTTAATGATACACCAGTCAGCAGAATATTTTCATACAGGCGCTATATGAAAATATTTCCCTAAACTGAGGAACTGTAGTAAAGATTCAGATTATAAATTTACACAAGCACCAAAATATGAAGAGATTGTAAATCTATACTAGAGATGAGAATTCTGTTAATATTTTATTCCCTTTTCAACATATTTTACCAAAACACTCAAACAGATTTATATTCCCCTCCATTTTCACTAAGAAAAATGTTTCTATAACAATTTCTGACTAGAAGTTTAGATGATGATCTATGCAAGTTATGCACCAGAGTCTGCAGCAATGCTATAAGGGATGAATGAATGAAACAAACGCTGAGGCTGAATTAAATTCATCTAACTTTAGTAGTCTAAAAGCAAGTAATATGGGATACTTCTGTCCTTAGATGAAAAAGACACGAGTCTCAAAAATATGATTAATTTCTTCCAAAATATTGAGATACTCATCACCCCCTGCAGGTGATTTTCACTGTAAATATTTACTTCATTTATTCACTAATTATTACTGATTCTGCTATGTTATATGTCTAATCTTCACTAATTAGCAAGAATTGGGATTTTAAATTTAGAATCACACAGGGTAAGGTATGCTTGTTGCTGCACAGATGCAATGAGGAGAAAGGAGAGTTCCTCTGTTATGCTGATTGAAATCTTAATATTTGGATATATATATTCAAATGCACAGAAACGTATATAAACAAGTTAAATATGTTTCATAAAAGTAATTGGATACACAGATTTTTAAACACCACGGGCAAATAGTCACAGATTTCTGAAATTAAATAACATACATGATTTAGTAAGAGAGATAACAGGAGATGTAGGTGAAACTAAGTCAGTAGAATTACCAAATTTTCTATTACCTGTAAGGAGAGGTATTGTATCTATTCTGGATCTCTGATTTTTTTTTTTTTTTTGGGGGGGGGGGGAGCTTTATATCCCGAAAGTTTAGGCATTTTCTACCTATATCATTTGTCTAGTAAAAGATACTTCCTCTGTCTACAAACTTAACCTTTCTTATTTTCAACTTTTGAAAAAAGCATATTGAAAAGAAATATAGTCTTAGAAAAGGTAAGTTAAAGATGACAAACTTATTTCTATGCTCACATACGGACTTCACTCTCTATTCACATCAAAGTCAGATCATGAGGATTACTGTTGTAATCTCTTGAATTGTTTCTACAAAAGTGCTTGGGAAGAGAAAGCATATATAGACATTATTCAGGGTCAGCATATAATTCTGACTGTTCCACTCAGCAAAATATTCTATTAAAAAGGTAAAATTTCAGCTGAACTTTAATATGCCTATCTGTTCCAAATCTAGCAACACATTAAAACTCAATTGACAAGTCTACAATTTGAAAAGAAATAGCAATACAATTTGGTCATAGGCTGTCCTGTATGTTTCACTGGTTCACATCATAGCAGACTATTTTATAGTTTTATAAACAAGTATTTTAAACATTTTTTGGATATTGGATACAGAAGTTTTTTAAACCTGACTGAAGTTTATTTCTGATGAATAATCAGTTCTATAATTCAAATTGGAATGGTTCATGAGGATCATGACTGTGAAAAGCCAAATACAATTTAAAATTCCCTTGTGTAATTCAGTCATAAGATGGAAAACAAAAGTGTGGGATAGAATCTATTTTGATCTGTTTGGTAATGCAAAACATTACCAAAATTGCATTCTCTGAAGCACCTAATTGAGACATTCCAGATGTGTGCTAATTGAATCGACAATAGATGTGGTCATAGGAAGAATATAGTGCTAAAGGGAGTCAAAGGGGATGAGATCTAATGGATGGTTAGTTTAATTTTGTTGATAAGAACAGAACACATCCAAAGAGACTGTAGAAGAGAAAAGAAAAAAAAGTGTTAGTAGCTCCATTTAAGACCTGCTACAGTTCTTCCTATAAAAAAGCAGCATGTTAACAAATTGATCAAAAGAGTCAGTGAAATTAACAAATACTGCAGAGCCACCTTGAGTTTGGGCAATGGCACTTGGAATAATAAAAAAATAATAATTTAAATATTTCCTTATCAAATGAAAGACTGTGTCAGTAGGTAGTAAGATCCAGTATAGGCTGTATTTTTTGTCCATCGGTGCTTAGAATGGTGAGCAATGTGCTTCCATGGAGAACCAAGTGTGCAGGATAGAACAAAGTTGTCTGTGATGAATCTGCAGTTCTTTAATACTTTAAATTCCTAGGAAACACAAAACTGTTTACAATTTTTGTAAGATTTCTTTTGTAAATACCAAACAATTTTAAAATATATTGGCACTCCCACTTTTTGCTTTCATCTCAGCAATTTGTTAAACATATCTTGAAAAGACATCCTTCTGACATTTACCAAATATCCTGTGAGAAAATTGTTTATTTCTTCCAATATAATAATTTCTCCTTTGTTACTCTCTGTTTTGCTTGGATTTCTACGTAATGTTCTTCATCTAATCTCCATAATGCCATAGAAAATAAGCCTAATATTCAATTTTCAGAACAACTTGAGGAATTTACTTAGTTGAGAAGATTGGTAGATCTATTCTATTTAGATTTGCCCTATAGTTTATGCCTCGTGTGCTTGTTTGTGTGGATTTCCATTATGAATGCTCAGAGGACTGCTCAGGTGAGTAAGAATTAGAAGACTAAGATGTTTGGCAGCCAATCTAGATCTGTTTAGAGGTTCTCCAAGTCAGGGATTAGTTTGTTACTTTTTTGTATATCCTTTAGAGCTGCTGTCCAACAGTTTCACTGCCAGTGTGCTGGGTGCTTTAGTGTTTTTCCTTCTTCTGTTCAGTAAGAGACTAACTACTAAGGAGGCATGTATTTTCTCTTGAGCATTTTATTAAACAAGGAGAGACAGAAGGATGTGAAAAATTTTCCTGATGTTTTAGGAGAGGAAGGATTTGACTCTTCCTGTGGAGTGTCTATAATGAAGGGAAGTGGTTGCCTTAGGAAATATGGGATGCGATTTATGCAGTCTTAAAGTGTGTAAGAGAATGGGAGGAAGTATTTTAAAGACAACTTGCACAGCTTGTGCTTCCCATCCTAATCCAGCTATCCAAAAAGATAAATATCTTGACTTAATAGTCACCAGATAGCAGAAGAATGCTGCTGCATGTTCTTTGGGACCTTATTTTAAACAATAATTCCTTACCATTGTCCCAGAGAACATGCAACAGCATTCTTCTACTGTCTGGTGACTATTAAATCAAGATGTTTACTTTTTCAGATAGCTGTGCCAGTCATCTTTTAGTGAATATAGTATCAAAAGGACAATATTATAGAAAGATAAAGATTTCATTTGTCTTCTTGCTAATTATTACAAATGTACAAGGAAAATAGTTCTGTCTTAAACATGTCAAGAATATTAGAGTTTGTATTAGAAAAAATTTTTTAGTTTTCAATATCTTAATGAATAAATGATTTAAAAAAAAAAGAAAACCTTGTAAGTGGAATGACCAGTCAAACTGGTATCTGTGTTTCACCTCTATGGCACTATCTAATGATTACAAATGTAAACACTTCTAGTTTCACATGGCATTATATATGCAATACTATCTGCTAAATTAATCTCTGAAGAAGAGTTTGGAATGCTTACACACACCCCCACACTCCTACACTATGGATAAGATGCTATACATCTCTCTAAAGGAAAACTGTTAACATCTTTCTGCCTAAAATGGGTTCATGCTCAAAAGGTAATTGGAATTTCTCCATAAATATACATGAAAAGGATTTCTGAATAAACAAATTCAACTTCATTGTGCTTTTGTGGCCTTATTACATTGGAAGAGTTGGATCCAAAATTGTAAGTGTATGTTTACACATTGTATTTCACGATCTTATAATTTTAATATGGAACACTGGTAGTAACGAAACCCTCTGCAAATATGTGTTTAAGTACTTTCCATCTCAGTTTAAAACTGCCTTACCTAAATTATTTTGTAACATTTATATAGCAGTAGGAAGTTTTGCAAGAAAGTCTTTTCAAGCATCCTAAGCCTAAGGTTCCCATAATTAGAGGGTAGGCACACAATAAATGCATGTACAAAGTAAAAAAAAAAAATGTCTGAGTTAACACTTGCAAATCACTCAAAACAACTGGCACACATTGACTTGAAGAATATAATGGTTAATAGTTATAATAGACCCTACATAATAGTTTCATGAAAATACTGATTTCTTTAAAAGTGTTTTAAAATAATATAGCTTCAGTGTTCACTGAGCTATGAATTCGTAAACAAGTTAAAGACTTGCATCTTTAAGCAAAGTAAGCATGATACGTACCATTCTTAAAAACATACTACAGAGACACCTTTTAGAGAAATATTAAGTACGTGGTCTTGAGGATATAAAGCCCATAGCAAAGACATTAAAAACTTTCAAGTAGTCTGTTATTTCACATTTTCAATATTCTGCACTATGACTTTACTTTTATATGTAGCAGGATCTTTAATTGTAGTATGATCTTTAACAATATAGGTAATTAATGTTTAGTAGTTCTCAGCAGTTACTTTAAATGTTAAGTAGGTAACTAACAGTCCTTCAGGAGTGAAAAGGAAAAATTTTTCTTACCTTTAGGTGCCACCTGTAGAAACTGCTTATGAAGTGTAGTAAGTTGTGAAATGGTTAGAGTACCACTTCCAGAGGTCTCTGTATGTGGAACATGTGGTGAAGGAACAGGGTCAGGAATCACTTTTACATCACTGCTGACGAAGAAATCTGTTTCTTCTAAAGTAATTTCGTATTGGATTTTGCTAGAACTCTCAATATGATGTCGTGCAACCTCAATCAGCTTTTCAACACTGTGAAAGTGTAAATGCAGAAAACAATGAGTACTTTTAATACATGACGTTAATAACTTAGGTTCAAATTTTAATGTGTTTACACTTTGAGAGCTTTTCTGAAATAAGAACTAAAAATCCTCTGCATGAATTCTGTACTCAGCAAAATCATTATGAAGTGCACTCTTCCTCTGGCAGCAAGAAATCTTTTGACTATGGTTAAGAAATTTATATAAAGGCAGATCTAAGCCACAGAAGAGACCTGATGGAAAAATATGAAAGGATGAGACTTTCTTTATTCCATAATTTTCATAGGGGTGGAGCATACATGCTCCATCTGTAATCATCCTTTAGCCTATTTCAATGTCTTGTCTTCTGCTCTGCCCCCAAATCCCAGATGTACAAAGCACTTTCTAGAATAGCATTGTGGAGGGGCATATGAACTCCTGTTTCAAGTGTAATGAGTACAATTTATACAGGGAAAGACATTACCTGTCTGTAACATTCGACTAGACATAGGTTTGGCCTGGGGTGTCAGGTCAAAGGACATGATGTTCTGTAAATATTGTGTCTTTGGCAGTGCTTGTTCTCAGGAGAGCAAATAAAACTGGTTGGAAGGCAGAGGCTCAGCCTCTTTGAGCTATTGCCTATTAGAGCCTCCACATCCTACATTCACGTCTCTTGTCTTGGGCTTGCCTTGACATGGATCAACTAGCACTGCCCTAGGTATGCCTCAAAAGTTAGTACAGGCCAGAAACATTTTCCAAAAGGCAAAGTGACCCTTTCTTTTGGAGAGTAAAATCCTTTAATGATATGGACATAGGCTGTTCTATGCCAGATTGCCTAAATGTCATAGAGCTGTCCCAAGCACATTTTATTTACTAGGACAGAAAAACTGTGAAGAAGAACTTTTTTTTTAATGGGCCTTGAAAGAATTTTGAGAAATGTTATACATTGTGGTAATAACAGTAGGTGGAATTTTCAAGCATGTGTAAAGCACAGGAAAGAAAATAACTCCACAATCACTTCAGAAGCCACTGAAATGATATAGAGGCTTCTACTAAATGGAATAACTGGTTGTCTGCTGATGCTTATAAATCTGCTAAATCTGTAGTCTAGAAAAACAGCAGAACTGATAATTACCTCTGCTGCTGCCAGCAGAACCTTCTAATCATCCAAGAAATTAGTTATTACCATTCAGGTATTTAAGATAAAATTAAATTCCAGTTCATTAAATGAAATTATTATTTTCTACTTTTTTTTTTCAAATTATTTGCTTCTATATAAACAACTATCTTTACCAGTTTAGTCTAGTTTGGAAAAAAACATTCCTGTTTAAAATTGGATTTACATTACCTGGACATTTCTGCCAAAAACCTGGATCCAAGCCACTTTTCCATATCTTTATAAGCCTCTTCTGCTTTTGTTGTTAGCTCTTCAACAAATGCTAAAGCTTTTTCTTTTATAAGTTCTAGTCGAGATTTTGCGGCTACTTCTGTTTAAACAGTAATGTAATAATAATTAATATTTACAAAATTTGAGGAAAATTCTCAGTCTTAAGCATCTAAAGTTTAACATGTTAACCTGTTTTTAGGCAGTAAAATATTTATTTAATTTCTCACATTCTTGAACAAATAGGGGTGAACAATCACCCCTATTGCATGACGTATTTTACAAAAGTGCATCTTCTATAAGCATCAGAATTCACAAGGTAACAAATATCTTAATAAAACTAATACAGAGGTGCAGGGGATGTTTAGTAGACAGTGACATTAAACTAAATTAACACTATACAGCAACAGACCTAGAAGCTTAATGATGCAAGTGTGAGTACCCTGTTACGGATAAATTTTAAAGAAAACACATCTAAATCATTATGTATGTTAATCACAATAGAAGTTTGCTTTTCTGTTTCTAACCTCCAGCCCTTTAAAATTAACCTCACTGGTTTTGCTCCAAGCTTCCTACATATGACTGTTTTATACCCTAAAATTCAGGTTGCATTAGAAAAGAATTTGTTTAGTGAACATTAAGAAAATAAATAACTTCTACCAAAATTATGCATAAAGTATTTACACAAAACTTTTAAAAACATTGAGAATTACATGATTTTTAGTTTTCAGAATGGGAAGAATTGAGAAAAAAAAAACCAACGGTTTCTCACTGAGAGGCTAATACTTAAAAAAAAGAGCTAAAAGGACAAGAAATGGGAACAAGTCAGCAATGTCCAAAGGGAAAAGGATGCCAAGTGTATGAAAAGGAAGCTAAGGTATGTATTGAGAGACACATGGAACAGGCACTGAAAGATATTCAAAGCCTTACAAAAGAAGAGTAAAAAAGAGCGCCAGTAGCTAGAGATTATTTTCAATCCTGAAGGCAAATTCAGTATTCAACTTGATTTTTCTTTGTATTTAACCCTTTGTACTGCAGAATTTTTCAAACAATTAATATTATCTAGTAATTGGTACAGTGATTTCAAAGTTAAATATTGTAAAATTATTTACATTATAATCCTTATTCCATATGCTACTAAGTTTTCAGAAGACTTAGGTTTGGGGCTGAAACTGTCTTTAGGCAACCAATGTAGAAAGATGGATCCTGAAAAATACAAGGTACGTCCTTTAATGTTATTTCTCAGTGTCGTGGTTTAACCTGGCA